GGAACAGCATGCATGATAATAGAACAAGCTTTGCCACACTATCCTGGCACTGTGGCTCAATCCTCTTGGGGAGGATGAGCAGAAGTCATTTGAAGAAAGAATATAAGTCAATAGCAGTGATAATATTTTCAATAAAAAGTATCAAAACCAATTCTAATAGTTATACTGGTAATTTTCTGTATTAATTCCTTTTCATTTGAACTTGTGTGTCTTTTCTAGATGAACACACAATCTGGGGTGTCTTATTATACAAGTGTTTGACATTTTTCTTTTAACAACATGCATTTAGAATAACTCTGTGATACTGCAAAATGGCTGGCCCCTTGTCCCACTACAGACATCAGGTGCAAGTGTAAATAGGGATTATACAAATGGGAGGTCGTTAAAAGTCTGGTAATGCTAATTTGGCATGACACCCCTAATGGGTTATATCTTCACACTTCAGTTACCTAATCACCTAAATTCTTTTAACAAATTTACATTTCATCTTACACATGGAGATTCAAATTGACTTGTCTATTTCTCCCCCCATCCTACAGTTCCATGATAAAACTCAGGTCCTTATCTTAGCCATTAAATATTATTGTAACTTTTTGGGGTTGCAACATTTATATCTATATACTCTCTCCAAAGTAAATTTTCCCTTGGCACAAAAACTTTTTAGATCTCAGTGGAGCAACAAATATAAATTTGTAACCAAAAATGGTATTTGAAGTTGCAATTCATTTCACTGGTAAATACTTTCATTTTCCCAAAGAGAAATGAAAGAGAATTAACTGACTTTCTGATATGACATTTCAATTACCATTTTATAAATTTCAGTGGTTGTGTATTACATCTTTGTTTTATTACATAACATAAAATATTAATTTGAGGAGCTATTCGACTTTCATTGTTTATTCAGGTGCAGAATCAAGGCCGGGGGGTTGGGGGGAGGAAACCTTTAAATTATTCAGACTGTCTGTAGAACAGCAAGAGTGTATTTAAAATTGAAGGTGTAATATGCTGTAGTTAAGAGATTCCAAATATATTAGACTTCTGAACTGAGATGTAAAATTCCATTGTTTCCTATATGCAAAGCATTTCACATGAATTAAAAACTAAGCTAGCAAAATAACCCTTCAGCTGTATAAAGCTGGGGTAATTCAATTGATTTCAATAGAGTTCACCAGGGATGATTTTGAGCCTTTTGTATCTGGAAAAAACAAATGTCTATATTTAGTTAAATATTTAACCCTTCATCACAGTTGAGTCTCCTGCTTTCACATCCCATATCTTTACAAAGCACATGATTTATTCTTTTAGGCCCAGATGTGTAAAGGTATTTAGGTATTGATTTGCTCAGCATTGCAACACCTAACTGATTTGGGACCCTGTGTCTCATTTCCAAAAGTGATTTAGGCACTTAAGGGTTTAAATCCTATCAACTGTCAATGAGATTTTGGCTCCTAAGTACCTAAATTTCTTTTGAAAATCAGACATAGGTGTTGCAATGCTGAGCACAGCAAGTGTAAATAGGGCAATGCCTAAATACCTTTACAAATCTGGGCTATATATATAATACTTATACTAAGTTGGCCCTTTAGTGGATATAAATTGTTTTTGATCAGGCCTTTTCTGATTTAGAAAAGTGAATCATGTCACCGGGAGATTTAACTTTTAGAATCTTTTGATTAAAAATATAAGCCCAACAAGATTTGAACTCAGTGGAGCAGATGCAGTTTTCAGTTACACTGTTGTAAATCCAAAGTCATTCCACTGAAGTCAACATGATTACTCCACAGTTACACAATGGAAACAGATCAGTTTGGCCCAGTAAGTTACAAATGCACTTAAGTATATGTTTTCATCCATCCCCATGTGCTTAAGAGCTTTTCTGAATAAGGATTGTTTCTTGAATTGGGGCCTTAAAACAGTAATTTTATCCACCAGAGAAGGAGCTCATATTCTCTCAGGAACACAACAGAAATAATAATTGCTAAGAACAAACTTTTAAAAGAAAATCAAATAAAGGTTTATGAAGTTCATACTAAGTATGTCCCTTAGCTTCTACCCAGATTTATATACATGCATAATATCACGGTGAGATTTGGGGAGAAAGGGGGAATTGGCATTTTGGTTCTTCAGTTTAAAAAAAAAGTAGAAGAGTATCTTTTTATTTGCAACATTATATATAGAAATAAGGAACGGATTATTCTATTCTATATAAATTCTCATCAATGCAGTATCTGAGCACCTTCCAGTAAGTATATTAAATGATGTGACTAACATCTGTCACTTGTAATTTGTTCATTCTCTCATCCTCTTCCCACAGGAAGAATTGTGTGTGCAACTGTTTTGTTTCAATATGGCATTGTTTTGCGGGGTTCAATGAACACACTGCTATGTGTTTATGATAGAGGAGGCCAGGATGAAGTCATGAGCTTTGCACTTGGAGTGGAAGGTGGTGAGGATTAAACTGACTTTTTATATATTATGCTAAGAATCTTCAGGCTGCTGTTAAACCACACATGGAAGCCAAGTTCCAGTGCTTGGTACAGTCAAGGCAAAATACACCAGACTCCCCATCATCCCTAGTGCAAATCCTCTCCTTCAAGTCCATTCTCAAGGCTCACTAGTACTACAATCCCTACTCAGAATGAGCCAATATTTATATAGCTAAGTTGAGAGGCAGTTGGGGCAAGTGATTATTTACTGACTGATGTACTTACACTAACATTTATAAAAATGGATATCATATATATAAATATTGTAAATATTTGATTGTCTCCCTCTTGCCCACCCGTCATACAGCACTGGGTTTAGTATTGTGAGCTCTCCAAGGTAGGGTCTGCATCTTCATAGATGCTTATCTAGCACAATGGGGATCTCATCCTGTTTGAGGCCTCACGAGCATGTCTCGATATTTTGAGGTTTCCTTGAGCTGACTTTGTTAACTACTGCAGACCTCCCACACACTGTAGTCAATCTTCGTGGTATGAGACAGTCACAAGTAAAAGGTCACTCTAATTGCCAGTTTCTCGATTTATATATGCACACCTAAATTCCCTCTAAGTTGCGCAGCTGCCCAGCAGTCTATCAGGTGCCACTCACTTCATGTGCCTGTCCCGCCCGCTGCTGTGCTGCTCCTGCCCTCTGCCTTGGAGCCCCTGGCTCCCGGGAGCCTCCTGCTTGCAGTGCAGAGCAGGGGAGGAGACGGGGGGGCCGCTGTCAGGGTGTCCCCCTCCCCTGTACCCCATCTCCACTGGGGAGGGGGGCACGACAGGGATGTGGGAAGGAGCTTGCTGGCAGCTGCTGCTGTGTCTGACAAAGCAGGCTTCAGACTGGTGAATGCCAATCTACTTAAAGAGGCAGCATACTTAAAGAGGCAGCGCATGTCTCTGTCACACACACACACAGTCTTTCACGCTCCCTCCCAACACATACCTGTATTATTATTGTTGTTACTTCTTGACACTTCCTGCAGTACACACAGTTTTTTGACTGGTCTATGCATTTCATCGTTTTTATTTCTCTTACACTTACATTTAATTCTTTGAGTAGTGAGTTCTAAAATGCCTAACCTGTCTTGGATGGACTAATTATCCCTATGGTAACTTTTTAAAAATATGTATTATATCTAGGTTTTTTGTTTCTACTGGTGGTGCACATCCACACATTACCTCGATATTAGTGCACATAACAAAATTCATTCTGCACATGGATGGAAAAAATTTAAGAGAACATTGATGCACACACCTTAATATTACCAAAGAGAAAAAGATTTGGCTTTCTACATTAAAAAGCTGTAGATTGACTTCCCTACAGCTCAAATTACACAGAAGTTTTAAAAAATTACATGAAGAAGAGTGTAAAAAAACACTCACACAACATGTTCTAGGATAACATAGCACCATTTTTAGTCAGTCTCACGATCAGCAGCAATGTGAGGCAGGAACAAAAAACTTATTACACTGCCAAGGATTTTTAACTTTTAAACTGGATGGCAGCATTTCCCTCTATACCAAAAGCTTCTGATGCTTAAAATGCCCAATATTACAGAGAAGCAAAACTCCAGACACTTATGAAGCATTACTTGGGAAGGACAAGGAATAATGTACTGGAATATAACTGTTTTAGATCAACTTTTTTTTGGTAACTCACCTGTCAACTTTATAGGTACACTTTACAAATACTCATTTATTTCAAAAAGCTTTAGAATATGTTTGGAAAAGCGGGATGCTAAATTTAAATGAAACAGACAAGAACAAGACTGGATGCATGGAGTCTTCCTACTGTATTTTCCACTGCATGCATCCGATGAAGTGGATTTTAGCCCACAAAAGCTTATGCCCTAATAAATTTGTTAGTCTCTAAGGTGCCACAAGTACTACTCATTCTTTTTGCTGATACAGACCAACACGGCTACCACTCCGAAGATTATATTTTGTTTGTCATCTAGGATTTCCTTAGTGACACTACAACAAACTACTGAGAGGCTGAGCTCCACTTAACCTTTTGTTACAATGACACCCACATTGGAGAGAGAGGCTAGGTTGTGGGCCACATTTAACCACCTTCAGGGTGTTAAGTGGCTGTGTGCCTGCAGATGCTAGAATTGCAGCGAGCAGCACAAAATCCTATCCTGTTTCACCAAACCATCCTCAGTACTTCTAAGCCATGGTTGTTTACAATTATACTCTCCTACCACCCTATTCTGAGTAAATAAATATCCTTTTTTAGCACACATGCACACATACACAGAGCAGCTTCTGTCTCTAAATTATAGTGGAACATGGCTGAATGAAATAAGCTCCTGGTCTCAGTTGCTTCTCCTTCTAGAAAGTATTTGTTTATCTAGAGCCAATCGCTGCTCCCCTATCTATGTAATGACTTCCTCACAGCAGTCAGAGAGATTACCCACACCACTGATCACTTTATTACTTCATAATGGCTGTTTATTTACTTTACTGCAGCAGTAACATGCAGGGATAAAGCTTTTCACAGCTGGGCAAACTTACCATATTCCTTACGCAGGTGGTCTGGAATGTGGGGCTCATAACCTTCCTTCTCAGGGACCTCCACAAATTCATCTTCATCTTCATCATCTTCAGTGTCGGACACTTTCATCTACAGGGAAAAAATACAGAAAAATGAGACCATTTTTTTCCCCCTTCATATTGAAAATATTAGCAGACAGCAAGACAGCCCACCACTGAGGCTCCTCTGAGCCAAAAGCATTTCCCTAATTATGTATTCAATCATCATCTAAGATTAGACCCCTTGTTTTACATTTCATCTCTAAAGCCATCTTCAATCCCTAAGAGATATCTTCTTTAAAGGTTTGCTTATCCATTAGAAGACACACAGTTGGTGAAGTGTGAGAAAGTGTGAAACTATAAAATAAAAAAAAAAACGTTAAAACAACATTAAGATCTTGACTTAGTGAGCAAGTGATAGAGAGCCTTATCAATGCCTACCCTAGTTTTGGTGGTTCAGCTCATTCAGCACATGTTATGTAAGATCACCCATTGTGTACGCCTCCCCAACACATACAACAGGCCAAATAGGATGAGCAAAGGATGGGCTGGCAGCCTCAACTCTGATAAAATCGAAGACATTCAAACTTGCTTTAATGCCATGCCATTTTACTGTGCTTCTCCTCCTCCTCTGCAGAGCTGGAGTCTACTCTGGGAATTACTGAGGCATGTTGCTCAGCTATCAAATGATTAGATAGATAGATGGATGAATAGATAGATGGATATTTTAAATAGTCCCTAGAGACCCTGGATCTTAAAATAAGATAATTATATACCCAATTTGTCTGAAGAGGGCATCCACATTCACAATGGTTTCACTAGTTTAGAGGATACTGGCCAGACAATTTTAAAAGAGCCATGCTGAAACTAATACAACTCCAATAAAGCAAGCCATTCTGAAAAGCCAACAGGTGTGTTGCTTGCATCACTTTGTTTAGGGGATATATGATTGCATTAAGAATCCAGCCAACATTAGGAACAATTCTTTTCAGCAGGCCAAGGGCCTTCACTTCATATCAGTCTGAGAACCCAGACTGTAGTGAAGTCTGCAGTAGATATGGGAGATTGGGATACAAGACTATGGCTTGATTAAGTGGGATTCAATTAAAAGGGATTCTACTGTATTTACTTTTTGACAGCAGCTTTAAAATAAAAATACTTGCAATACATAAATATCTTATCTGATTTGAAAGACCCTAAACAATTACATCATTAGGTTGCAAACTTTACTATGTAGAATCTAAGGAACTGAAATTATTGGGATTTTTAAAATATATGTGTACAGCCCATATTATACATAGAATGGGATATTTAAGAGTAGTTGAAAAATAAAAATGTAGTTCCTATCAATTAATCAAAGCAACTAACCCATATTAGAGGCTATCAGCTTCCTAAATTTTATTTCAGTTAATTTTTGCCGTGAGTATGTCAATGAGACGTTACAACCTTCCTCCAATGCCTTTCTTTCTTTCACATACAACTACCAATACATTTTCCCCACAAAATTATTATCTGGGCAAAAACAATCTGCCCCTCCTTCGATGAGAATTTGTATGGCTAACTTATAAAATCCGCAAATCCTGGCAGTCTCTTAAAAAGACAGCAATGCTGCCAATCACTAATATTGTATTTCTCTTGCCCAATTTGGGGAGATTTTAAGAGATTTACACATCACAGAACGAATGAGTTATTGTAGTTTTCCCACATGTTTTTATGGGTTTGGGAAACAATGCAAAGGATCCATTAAATGAACAGTCTTACCACAGAACTCACAATCACACTTACTCAAGTTCCCAGAAGTAAACAAAAGCAACAGAGAAATAGGTGATTAGATCACCTATCATAATTTTTTCCCATCATGGATTATCCCTTTTAATGTCCTTCCCACTGCACTTACTGCTTTCATGCAGGTATTCATATCAACTACTAGTTGTAGAGAGCACAGGAGGAAGAAGCAATTTCCCCCTGCAGCAGAATTTTACCAATGTAATTCACTAATCTAATCGTGTGTCACAGCTGCACACTTGAGTTCCTCTAAATCATACTGAGATTCTGAAGCCAAAAACATCTGGAAACCAAACCTCAGCCTACTGAGTATATTAAAAACCAACAAACTTAGCAAAACTTTCCATCAGTATTGCTTATAAGCTACACTGAAGCTCATTGCTAACACAAAATGTTCAGTTGCTGTTGACACTGCAATTTACCCTTCAGTAAGTGAAATTTAGAGGATGAATTCTTTGTTTCTTAATTGACTCTTTCCACAGAACACAACAGTCCTAAATTTTAAAAAGACCTAAAGGACAGTAGATTTATCAAGTGCATCATAACCAAACAGTACCTTTTCCCCCCTAATTATTTTTTGGTTTAATATTAATTCCCAGAAACTTGTTTGAAACCAGCCATGAAGTCAACAATATATAGTTACAACCATGGACGTCCCATTGGCCACACCATCACTACTTCTAATCAGCAGACAGAGAGTTGTCATACTCTAGGCATGCTGGAGGGCTCTGAGTTTTAAATTACTTTTCACTTCCCACTGCAATCATTCCTCCTCATCTTAAGGAAAGAAGCAGTTCATCCCTGCCTGGTGTGGCCAAGACAGACACATGCTGCATCTGACCTCTCATGGCCCAGACTGGAAGTCAAACTGCAGTTCCAACAGAGAAAGGGTCAAGTGCTCTACAGCTAAACAGAAATACACCAAGAGACTGGGTTAGTTAATTACCAAAGAGGCACATCAATTTTTAAATCGCAAGCTTTTAGAAGACCTTTCAGCTGGCCTTTAGAAAGAGAAATATTGTAGGGTTTTGCTTTCAGCACAACACGAGCAGTTGGGAGACTGAAAAGGAACTAGTTTGTTAGCAGTCTGGCTTCAAAGTTCTATTTTTTTTCCCTTTTCTACTTGTTAAAGACAATTTAGGAGACAGGAGCAAATTAGTCTCTTCTAGCTAGTTAGAGCTGCCTGTTTGTCCTGCTAGAGATATGATTGTGTCAAACTTTCTACTCTCAGTTCCTATTTCTAAGTCAGCTATAAAACAAATTAAACCAAACTAAAACTTGTTATAGATGGTCTCAGTCTAGAATTTGGTTGTGCAAAATGTGAAAAATCAAAAATAAAATAGGAACTACCATGGATTTATTTAATTGTTATGTTCTAGGAGTGGGGGACGGGGGGGGGGAACAGGGGGGAGAATTTCAGTGGACTTCTGTGCTTTTGATTAAAAACTTTTTGCCAGTGTTAAAAGTACATAAAGTCACTAAGAGAAGCAAGTTTAGGGAAGAGGGAAATACTGGTAAACTAACAGAAGGTAAAGAAAACTTAGTTAAGGCTGATAATCTATCCTAAATCCACTACATTGTATCTAGGATATTGGAGACATTTTAGTTCAAATACTTACATACATTATATATATTGCAAAACCTGGGCAAGACTTCAGGACACGTAACTTGTCTTAACTTTAAATTTCCATTGCTTTGTTTGTTTTATAGCCTCTATATTGCTTGAGAAACTTAGCTATGAAGAGGCTTCACCAAACAACCTGCATATCACACATGGCTGACTTAAAAACTGAACCAGGAGCAACATCCTTGTATACCTGGATGATCTCAAAAACTTCGAGGCACATAAAAAGCCCTGCTGTGAAAAGGCATAATCAGATGCAAATTCGCTTTGTTTAGGTACAATCCATGAACTGCACATTTAGGTACTCTAGGAAACATTAATCATAGGAAACTGTAATTTTTGTTATCAGTCTAACACTAATCAAAAGGGAAACCTGTCACTACCGCTGACCTGTGAAACGTCCCAATTATACTCTTCGGAAATGACAGGAGCACTTAACTTCCTCACTGAGTAAATGACGACGATCAATCAAGTTTGAATAACAATGAGCCACGGAGCTGAAAATTATTTTTTGTATAGAATCTACCCAGGAATTTATGAAAGGTGAAAAGCAACCCAAGGTTTTAGGGGCATTATGGCTTTCAGCTAGTGCAGTGCATATCAAACACTAAACAGAATTTATGTGTTTTAATTTTCTAAAAGGTAGATGTGGACTTGGTGCTACAATGCATAACATATAATGCCAGATTTTAAATATGGGGGTCATTTTCATAAAATATTATGCTTATTGTTTGCACTCTTGAATTTCACTGGGGACTTTTATTAAATTTAGTTTTCCTGTAAAAATATTTAACTGCTTAGTTAACTATCAGGAATTAAGCCTCCTTTTCCTTCTTAACAGACATAACATGTTTATTTTTATATCATTTTAAAAAGCAGCTCTATCTTCCTTTTGGTTTTCAAATATGTAGTGAGGTTAATCGCAGTTAGAAATTCAAAAGTTTGAGGTATTACTGACTAGTTACTTAACACAAGTGGAATGAAGAAAATTACATCTATATCATTCCCTTTATGCAATTTTGTTCTCCTTCCATTCCACTACAATTGACTCAGTCAGATGAGAACTCCCCAACAACAGTACTTTAGTCAGAGAAGTCACTGATATAAATTCCATTTCCACAGCACCTGCTAAGAGCATTTATTCCACACAGCCCTTTTGTTGCACCCAGACCGAACAGCATCAATGCTTTATGAAATGTGAACCATTCTAATGTTGCTTCTCCACTTTTTTTGTAATAAGAAATGTAAATTTTGGCAACCAGTTTTAAATTGGATTAATTTCTTAACGATGGCAGCCTCAAACTACCAAGAATCCGATTAGCTCACAAGGATATACATTTAAATTAACATTTTAAATGGTAAAAAGAAAAGGAGTACTTGTGGCACCTTAGAGACTAACAAATTTATTTGAGCATAAGCTTTCGTGAGCTACAGCTCACTTCATCAGATGCATTCGGTGGACTGAATGCACTGAATGCATCCGATGAAGTGAGCTGTAGCTCACAAAAGCTTATGCTCAAATAAATTGGCTAGTCTCTAAGGTGCCACAAGTACTCCTTTTCTTTTTGCGAATACAGACTAACACGGCTGCTACTCTGAAACCTGTCATTTTAAATGGTGCGATTCACTGAAATACGTGCCTTTTGGAATTCATGGCAGATAAGTTCAGACACTTTAAAAAA